AGTTCTCTTTTCATGTTGTTAGTCCAGTGGTCTGTTTTGTTCCTTTCCTTACTTTCTGTGCTTTCTCAGTGGGCTAATGTCGGTTTCTATTTCTCTTGGATTCACAGTGCACTCTGGCCACCAGTAATCTTCTCCAGTTTCCTGAGCAGTCTAACACTGAAGTCTTATTCCTGTTTATTATTAATAGGGACAGGATTACATTTTACCTGTGCTGTTGGGTTATTACCTTTTATCAGAGATTCACGCCTGTTGAGAATGTATTATCAATAGATACGTGTTTTCCACGTGTATTCCAATCAACACAGTTCTCTCTCAGAGGTGCCGCTTTTATAAGAGCTCCTATTTCCAACCACACTTATGTCTGATGTATGTGCGCAATAACATTTATGTCATGTATGTGTGCAATAACATACACCCATGTGTTCTTGCTTCACTAGTAATTCTTGCTTCTCTATAATCCTTCCCTGGTTGAACTATTAAAATATTATCTGGGCATGACCATTTGCTCCTAGTCTTTTATATATATCTGTTTTATCATCTGCCTATGGCCCATAGCCCCAAACTTAACTCTCTAATAACAAACCCATTCCTTTTAAAATACTGTTAGTACCATACAATTTATCAATGCTTAGAAACAAAGAGAAAAAAATACCTAATTAGGCGTTTGGCTTTGGATGGGCCTTCTTACTTTCAAGCCTGCCTTATTTCTCCTATCATCATAGACTTTGTAGTCATCATGGCTTGTCATCCTTTGTATCTGCTGTTGTTATGTGGGTTGATATAATAACCTGAGTTGACTGGTTTGTAAAATGCAGACAAACTCTTTTGGTCCTTTCATTATTCAGAGTCCAAACTCAAAAGATTGAGATGTACAGAAGAGTTGGGCACCACTCCCGTGATGAGATGTGAAATAAATAAAATCCTAAAGCTAAATCCTGGGGAACAAAGAAAAAGGCAAAGATTCACACAGATTCCAATAAACACTAAAACCAATAATGTGGACTGTGAACTAGATCAGCTTGAGGCTATTTTGTAATTCTGGGTGTTCTACTTTTTAACCTATTTATATTGTTTCCAACATTAAATTAAGAAACATATAAAAAGGATTTTGATCTTATTTTATGTACAATTTGATAAACTATTAATTTATTAATGTTTACCAAATAGCAAGCATGGTGCTTGCTATATATGCTTTTAAGTTGAGGGACATTAGCTCAACCAGGTGACCAAGCTTAGCATTGTTAATGGTCATTCATGTTGACAGCATATGCTATTAATATGATAGAATGCCATTTATTTACCTCTGTGCTCTTCCTACAAAAATAAAACAAACAAAACTGTACCATTAGTGCAAACATAAAAGAAATATCAGAAATCCAAATTGAGATAGTCTACAAAATACCTAACAAGTATTCCTCAGAACTGTCAATTTCAAAAACACGGAGGGGCCTGGCCATTGTGGCTCAGTGGATTGAGCATTGTCCCATGGACTGAGAGGTCCCAGTTTAATTCCTGGCCAGGGCACATGCCTGGGTTGCAAGCGCGATCCCAGTAGGGGGCGTGCAGGAGGTAGCTGATCGACATTTCTCTCTCATATTGATGTTTCTCTCTTTCTCTCTCCCTCTCCCTTCCTCTCTAAAAATCAGTAAAAAATATAAAACATATTTTAAAATATATATATTTAAAAAAAAAAAAACATGGAGGGAATGAGAAATTGTCACACGCCAGTGGAAGCTAAGAGACTTGAAAATTAAGTGTAATGTGGTATCCTACATGAAATCTTGGAATACATTAGAGAAAAACCAGTAAAATCTGAAAAATCATGTTTAGTTAATAATGTATCAATGTTACTTAGTTATGACAAATGTACCAGAGCAATAAAAGGTGTTAACCAGGGGGGCTGTGTGAGGAGTATATAGGAATTACTGGTTTAACTACAACTATTCTAGACTGAAGTTAATTTTTTAAATTTAAAGTACTCCAGGTTAGATAATTTCCTTTCGTTTTCTAGAAATCAATAGTTCTCTGAAAAAGCAACAGGTAGAGAAGCCTTTTGATTCATGTCCCTTTGTCACCAAGCAATAAGCTCATGTTGCATCAAGTGGCAGAGACTGAGGAGGGGCAAACACCCTCTCAGCTGCTGGAACTCCTGCCACCAGGAGTGCTGATGCAATCTCTGGTGTGCTGGTGCTGGTGGTAACATCACCTTCATCCAATGGTGACCTTTTATGCCTGGCCCTTTTCTATGATGGTGATGCCAGTGAGTAAAGTGATGATAAGCCAGTGTCAAAGAAATACCTGTTTTCCAATCGATGCTAAAAAACATACCATCACTTTTCCTAACATGGTATCAGAAAATAGGAAATAGAAAATGTTCTCTGGGAATCCACTAACACTGTCCACATACTAAATGTACCAGATCACACTTGCAGAAAGCAACCTGCCCAGGGTGAGAGAAGTTTTTAGTGGTCCAGGTTTTAAAATTGAATTTTATGTACTTCCTTCTCTGTGCTGACCAAATCATGTAGCCTAAAATTATGACAGATTTTACAAATATTTCCTTGGCTAAGACAATATACTATACTGTTTCCCCCCAAAAAAAGTTTATTTTCAGCACTAACGTGGTGCTTCTGACATGAAAGTCGCTGATTTCATTCCAATTCTAAAATTCACTATCTAGGTAGGGTAAAATAAAGTTTGCAATGCTGCAGTATGAGCAAGCATCATGGGATTCGGAAAAGACCCTATACAGATTGCTCAGGTTACATGCATACAAGAGAGCTAAGAAGACTTGCTTTATAATTATACTCAATGCAAAATGAACCACAAAAATATCACGAAATTAAGGCTGAAAGAGCATGTAAGAATTAATATCCATGATAGACACAAATATTCCTTGAGAAATCTTATGGTCCTAGAAAAACAGGACCAGACCAATATTCAGACATACCAGGCAGGCCAAAACCTAACAGCATCCAGCTGAGAAAAGCCAACATAAGAAGCACATAGATGGTCACTCAAAAAAGTGAACAGGTGCAGAGCAGGATTGGCTACTGCCTTCTACTGATACATAGACTCACAGATGTACCACACAGCTCAGACACTAGTCACAAACATTTATTGGTGTTGTCCACAGAATGCAAGTTATTCTTCCATCTTTAAAATTTCCAGTGAGTTTGTGTATAGGTAAATATTTCCTTATACATTTTCTAAAATATTTAATGTTACCTATAAAACAAGTTGTAGTACATTTGACCCTCAATTCTGAAATTGATACATTTTCCTTAGAAAAAAAAGTATCTGACATAAACTCAACGTGTTTAAAACGTCACTTATCAAAATACAAGATTTTCATCTAATCTTAATTATTTGCTGTTTAATAAAGTTCACTTGGAAATAAAGGTTTGTGTTTTTCCCTGAGATTTCTCTCATTTTTAACGATGTCGTCTCACCATTCAGGACACTGACAGAAGGTGCCTTCTTCATGTGAATTCTCTAATGTTCAATGACAAGTTGAATTCTGATAGGTCTTCTGATATTTATTGTATTTATAGGGTTTGTGCAAACTGAAAGGAAAGAAGGACACCTACTTAGAAGCGCTCCTGGTGGCTAACTGGGTAAAAAAAAAAAAAAAAAAGCAGTCACCCGGCCGGTGTGGCTCAGTGGATTGAGCATCATCCCATGGACTGAGAGGTCTCGGTTCAGGGCACATGCCCAGATTTTAGGCTCAATCCCCAGCAGAGAGTGTGAAGGAGGCAGCTGATCGATGTCTCTCTCTCACATCAATGCTTCTCTCTCTTCCTCTCTAAAACAACAAAAATCAACAAAAACTTTTTTTTTTTTTTTTTTTAAAGCAGAGCCTAGCAGCCATTTCTGCACAGGGCCTTCTCACACAAACTTCACTTCAAGGAAAACCCTCTGCATTAAACTGCCTGTGGGCACTATATTTCTGCCCTCTGTGCCAGCCCTTGTGACGTTTTCCTGGAATCCTTTATCGACCAATAGGATTGAGGCACTCTCCATCTAATCAAAGCCGCTCTATCCTGATCAATCGGGATAGTGCCTTTGGACCAGTCAAATTGTGAGGATTTGGATTCCTCATTTGCATTGGGACAGACCAATCAAGGACCAGGGGCAGAGACTTCTATCCATTTAAGCCAGCTCCCCTCTCGCCCCTCAGGAACAAACTTTCCAGTGAAGACTGAAGAGTGTTTTTCCCCAGATACAGTGGAAACACGGATGTCTTGCTGCAGCAGAGCAGACCACTGCAGACCAGGGCTGTCTAGCTGAAGAGGAGCCTGGCCCCAGGGTGACCTAGCCCCAAGGCAGCTTCCCAGCTGTGCTGTTTTCACAGTTGCACTGCATTACCATTGAGCTGTTCCACAGCTGCGCTGTTTTCACAGCCGCACTGCATTATAATTGAGCTGTCCCAATTATGCTGTTTTCACAGCCATGCTGTGGCACTGTTAGCACTGAGTAATTTTCCTTCCTCACTGCACCCCAAACTGTGGATTCCTGTTGGCACTGAATTGGCACCAATGATGCAGGGTTAATAGGTTTCACCCCATTCTAATAGACTGACTAAACTACGTGCACTTAACCAAAATCTTTAAAAAGCTCAACATAGTACAAACTTAATTCCTGCTTTAAAAACAAAACAGAGAAAGATCTGTTAGTGGAAAATTTTCACCATTATTCAGACTCTAGCTTCTTTCACCTTCTGTTCTATGTTCAATACACAGCACCCAAGTCTGCCATGGAAATTTCTCCATTCCAGTATAACATGGCACAAGGAGGTTGGAAAGTGACTTTTTAAGGACAAACTTAGCTGAAATGTAATAGCATCATGTTCCATAACCAGCCCCACACAAGCAAAGGTCAGATTGGGAAATGTAAACAAGACTGTGCCTATTGGAAAGGAAACAGTTCAATGAAACAATTTGCTGGTCTATGTGACATGACTTCTCCACTGTGTGTTATCTAATAAGGTATGAGTTTCTTCAGGACTTCCCAAATGTATTACATGGAAAGGTCTTCTCTCAGGTGTGCATTCTGTTATAATGTACTCGAAGAGCTGCCTTACGAACAAAAGTTTTCCCACACTCATTACATTCATAAGGTTTCTCCCCTGTGTGAATTCGCTGATGTACTCTGAGAGTTGAATTTTGTGCAAAAGCTTTCCCACATTCATTACACTCATAGGGCTTCTCCCCTGTGTGAATTCTCTGGTGTGCACTAAGGTGTGACTTTTGGAAGAAAGTTTTCTCACATTCATTACATTCATAGGATTTTACACCTGTGTGAATTCTCTGATGTACTCTGAGGGATGAACTATGGGTAAAAAGTTTCCCACATATATTACATTCATAGGGTTTCTCATCTGTATGAATTCTCTGATGTGCACTGACATATGACTTCTGGGAGAAAGTTTTCCCACACTCATTACATTCATAGGGTTTCTCCCCTGTGTGAGTCCTCCCATGTGCTCTGAGGTGTGAGGTCTTGGAGAAGGTTTTCCCACATTCATTACATGCATAGGGTTTCTCCCCCGTGTGAATTCTCTGATGTGCCCTGAGGGCTGAATTATCAGCAAAGGATTTCCCACATTCATTACATTCATAAGGTTTCTCCCCCGTGTGAATTCTCTGATGTGCACAAAGGTGTGTCTTCTGGGAAAATGTTTTCCCACATTCATTACATTCATAGGGTTTCTCTCCTGTATGAATCCTTTGATGGACTATGAGGGCTGCTTTATAGCCAAAGGTTTTCCCACATTCACTGCATTCATAAGGCTTTTCCCCTTTGTGAATTCTTTCATGTCCACTGAGGTACGATCTCTGGGAGAAAGTCTTCCCACATGCACTACATTTATAGGGTTTCTCACCTGTGTGAATTCTTTGATGTGTACTGAGGTGTGCCTTCTGAGAAAAAGTTTTCCCACATTCATTACACTCATAGGGTTTCTCTCCTGTGTGAATTCTTTGATGAACTATGAGGTCTGCTTTATAGACAAAAGTTTTCCCACATTCATTACATGCATAAGTTTTTTCCCCTTTGTGAATTCTCTCATGCCCACTAAAGTACGATTTCTTGGAGGTTTTCCCACATTCATTACATCCGCAGGGTTTCTCGCCTGTATGAATTCTCTGATGGGCACTGAGGTGTGTCTTCTGGGAAAAAGTTTTCCCACGTTCATTACATTCATAGAGCTTCTCCCCAGTGTGAACTCTCTGATGTATCCTGAGGGCTGAACTATGGGTGAAAGTTTTCTCACAGCTATTACACTCACAGGGTTTCTCACCTGTGTGAATTATCTGACGTGCTCTAAGGGCTGAATTTTGGGCAAAAGATCTCCCACAATCATTACATTCATAGGATTTCTCCCCTGTATGAATTCTCTGATGTGCACTGAGGTATGTCTTGTTAGAGAAAGTTTTTCCACATGCAAAAATACATTCATAGGATTTTTTGCCTCTGTGAATTCTCTGATGAGTTCTGAGATGTGACATCTTGGAGAAAGTTTTCCCACATTCAATACATTCATAGGGTTTCTCCTCTGTGCAAATTCTCTGATGTTCTTCGAGCTGTGCCATCCTAGAGAATGATTTCCCATATTCATCAATTTGATAGAGTTCAATCTGTGAATGTGTTCTCTGTTGTACTAAGAGTGCAGACTTCTTGTAAAATTTCCCATATCCATTGTTATCATAAAGTTTCTCCTTTGTGTGAACTGTCAGATGTTCACTGAGGTTTGACATCTGACAAAAAGTTTGCCCACATTCATTACATTCATAGAGACTGACTCCCATGTGAGTTCCAGAATAATGAATGGTGTGTGAATTTGAACAAAAGAATTTCCCATATTCCTCACATTTGTAATTTTTCTCCTGTGGTTGGGTCCTCTGATCCAGAATGAGGTGTGCTTTCTGGTAAAAGATTTTCCTGTATTCTTTACTTTCAAATGACTTTTCTGCTGTGTCACTTTCTTGATGTACACTAAGGAGTGAGTTTTGATGCAAGGATTCCCCGTGTTTAGCACACTGGTAGAATTTGTCTTCTGTCTGAGTTCTCTGATATATTGTAAAGTCTAAGTCCTGGTAGGAGATACTTGTACATCCATTAACACCACAGAACTTATCTCCAGTTTGTATCTTCTGATGTACTACATGGGCTGAGCTTTGGTTCAAGTTTTCTTCACACTTACTGCTTGCAAAAGTACTCTGTCTTATAACAGTTCTCAGAGGTTGAATGATGGGTAAATTCCTGTTGAAGTAATTTCCACATTCATTATATTCACAGTATGTCATAGCCATGTAAACTTTATTGTAATCCACAATGGTGGCTTTGTCGCAGGATCTCCCACATTCATTAAGATCAAAGCAGTTCTCCCTTGTACCAGTTCTCATGTGGTTAAATAGAGTTGCCTTATCACAGTTTTTCCTAAATTCATCATCCTTGAAGGATTCCTCACCTATTAGAGAATTCTTAGCTGTAACACAGACAACAGTGTTATCATGTAAAACTTTTCTAAATTCGCGAGATTCCAAAGGTTGCTCCAGAATTTGAAATTTTTGATGATCTTTCTTATGGCTGAGAGTGTTCACATTTTTATTGTATTTGTAAGACCTCTCTCCAGTATGAGTTTTCTCATGTTTAGTATCAAGCTGCAACTTTTCACATACATTCAAGTAATCACCCTTCTTTCTTGAATAGTTCCTACCACTAATAATTAAGGCAGAAACAAGTGGCAAATTCATTCTACATGAGTCACATTCACAGGGCATTTTTCCTGAACAATCTGGAGTTATATCCAGATTAATTGGTTTTTCTAAAATGTTCTTCCCTCCTTTACTCAATGGTCTGTTGTCAATAAATATCACTTGCCACAGAGATTTCTCTGGTTTTTCCTGGTTCCCCTGAAGGTGGACATCAACTCTGTAATATTCTAAAATGAGAAAAATTAAAAACAATTTATGAATCTTACATTTCTTATTGAGAGTATCTTATAATCATGTTTTGTAATATTTTGTATTGTTTCTGGTCATGTTTCCAAAGATTAATAATTCATGCGCACAGAGAGAAACACAGACACACATACATTCTCTCTCTCTCTCTCTCTCTCTCTCTCTCTGCTCATCTCAGTGTTTGAAAAAAACAAAAACAGGATTATTTCCAGTGCTAGCCAAGATGGAACAGCCACATTCTTCCAGGTCCTCCCTTACTACAATTAAAAATCCCTCAAAGGCCCGGCTGGTGTGCCTCAGTGGTTGAGCATTATGCCGTGCACCAAGAGGTTGCCAGATGGATGCCCAGGTTATGGGCCCAATCCCCAGTGGGGGACATGCAAGAGGCAGCCAATTGATGTTCTCTCTCATCGATGTTTCTCTCTCTCTCTCTTCCCCTTCCTTCTCTCTCTCTAAAATCAACACAGAAAAAATATTTTAAAATAATAAAAATTTTAAAAATAAAAATCCCTGGAAAAAATGAGCAAATGAAGATGCTACAAAATAAAAAGGACTTTGAGACTAAAACAATAACATGACAGAGAAGTCCCAGATTTTCCTTCTGCTTCCCATATATCATATAGGGTGCTGCACTGCTAGAGAACCTGCAATCCAAAGCAAACCACAGGCAGAGACAAAATAGTTCTAACAAAATATCGTAGATTCTAGTGAAAAATCTGAGAAACAGTTGGTTTAACAGAAAAGAAAAACTTCTTTGACAATATCCACCATACTCAATCCTCCTTCTATCCCCAATAAAGAAGAGAAAAAAAGAAACACTTTCCTGTGGTTCTACCACAGATATAAAGACAATTTTACATTCTTGCAAAATTGTCCTCTATGAGCCAAACTAAGAGTTCATAGGAGAAAGATCATGAAGAATTCTGAGAAATTTCCATTCATAAGATATTCTGGGAGATCGTAACAGCAGCCACTGCCAAAATTCCACCTGAAACCATATTTCTATCTACTCTTTAAAATTTGGGTTAGCTATAGCAACAAACCTGTTGGTTCAGGGCACTGGTGGCCAATTCATAGCAGGCAGGATGGGAAAAAAAGGAAAACAAAACAGAAGGACAGAAAAAGGGAGGGAGGGCAGGAACACATACGAGGCCCAATATTACACCTAGAAGAAATAAAGTAGCACTTATAAAAAGCATATCCTCAAAACCCAAATACTCAAATACACTAAAGAGCAGCTGAATTCACATTATCCTCAAATGTATACAAGCATTTATCAAGACAGATGACATTATGGGCTGTAAGGCAAATCTTTATAAATAAAGAAAAAAATCATACGAGTATGATCTCGAGTCACAGATAAATTATACTAGAAATCAGTAATACAATTATCTTAAAAAATAAAAACATATATATGTATATTAACATGCTTCTAATTAAACCATGGGTCAAAAAGTACAAGTCACAGAAAATTAAGGTATTTTAAAGTGAATGAAAACAAAAACTTCAAAACATTGAAATTTGTGGGATGCAGCTAAAGTAATATTAAAATAAGTGCATAGCTTAAAATTTTTTATATTAGCAAAAAAACAAAACAAAAACCCACCCCCAACCAGTTACCTAAGCTTCCACTTTTAGAAATTACATGGAAAAGAAAAAATGACAGCAGATTGAATGAAAGCTACACTAGAATTACATTATCCCAGGACCAAACAGGAATAACAACTGAAATATAGAAAACTTATCTGGAATAACCAACTGAAGATCGGCTGGAGAGAACACTTATAACCAAGGACATAAAGAGGAGCCCACATCAAGGCTGGTAAGAATTAGAGGCGCAAGGTTACCACAGTCAGCAGCTAAAGTTTCAGAGGGATATCTCAGTTGCAGGGGGTTCCCCCTGAGAAGTGCAGGGTCTAAAACCCCAAGCTGGGTGCAACAGCCAAGAATGGCAGAACCAGGAAAGATGCCTACATAACACCTGGCTGTGAAAAGCCTCAGAGATTCTGTCCATCAAGGAGAGACGGCTAAAAACACCATCTTAAAGGGCCAGTGCACTAAATTCATCTATAGCCACTCACCTTGGGCTCTGGCAGAGGAAGATCTGAGTGGACTAGAGCTACATGTTCAGAGTCTGGGGTTCATGGATCTGTGAAGGCAGCCAGCAGGAGCCATGTGCTGAGTCATTCCTCCACACTGCAGAAAACACCTTTTGCATGCAGTTTTCCTACCAAAGCAGTTTTAGCCAGAGGGGAGAAACAACTGCCCCACATGCTAAATTTCTCTCACCCTGCCTGCTGGTTGGAGTTTACACCTAGTGGAAGACTACAACCTGAGACTTATTAGGTGACTGAGACTAATAGCCAGACTAGAGGCAAAGACAGATCTCTGGGTACTTTGAATCTTTGCCTGGCCTATAGACTCTGGAAATCATGGCTCTGGTGACAGAACTATGAAGGCCATGGCCAGGGCCCCAGTGCTGAGTCATTACCCCACACTGCAGAAGCCATCTTTCTCAGGCAGAGTTTTCCCACTGAAGCAGCTCTAGCCCAGGGGGAAGCAATTGGCCCACTCACTGAAAATCCTCTCACCCCGCCCACCCAGGTGGAGTGTAGGTCTAGCAGAAGACTACAACCTGAGGCTCATTAAGTGACTAAGACTAAGAGTCAGCCTGTAGGTGCTTTGAGACTTTGCCTGGCCTATGACTCTGCCCTGGGAGAATAAAATCAGACTTTAGTGTTCAGCTTGGTCCAGTCCATACACATCCAGCCTCAGGAGAGGGTGCCACAAAGCATGGATCGTTGATATTCACAGGGAGATTTTTAGCAGGCATAAAATGCTGGTGAGATGAATTGCGCTTCAAGTGATTAACAACTGTACAGCAGCCTGCTTGCTGTGCTGGGGTTTAAGCATCACTGTCAACCAGTCAGAGGGTCAGGCCAACACACAGTCCAATAGCAACCAAGACTACATCACAGCAGGAGGGCACACAAAGTGCACAAGGAACATTATTAGAGCATCCAGGTCTTGTGATCAGGGAGACTGAGCCACTGGTTCACACAGGTCACCTAAGACATAGGATCATCCTATCCAGATTAGGAGTCATAGCAGATCTACCTAATACACAGAAACAAACCCAAACAGGCAGCCAAAATGGTAAAACAAAGAAACAAGCTCCAAATGAAAACACAAGAAAATTCTCCAGAAGAAGGGCCAAATGAAATGGAGATAAACAAGCTATCAGATATAGAGTTCAGAGTAATGATTATAAAAATGCTCAATGCATGAAAAAAGATAGAGAAACATAGAAAACAACCAATTGGAAATGAAGAATACACTGGAAGAAATAAATAGTACATTAAATGAAGCTGAGAATCAAATCAGCAAATTAGAAGACCGGGTTAAATAAAAAAAAATATCACTCAATCAGAGAATCATAAAGAAAAAACAAAAACAGGACAGTTTAACAGAGCTGTGGGACAACATGAAATGTAACCACATCTGCATCATAAGAGTACTAGAAGAAGAAGAAAGTGAGCAAGGGTTAGAGAACCTGTTTGAAGAAATAGTAGCAGAAAATGTCCCTAACTTGGTGAAGGAAAAAGTCACAAGTTCAGGAAGCACAGACAGTCCCAAGTGAGAAGAATCCAGCGAGTCCCATGCCAAGACACATCATAATTAAAATGCCAAAAATTAAACAACAAGACAACCTTAAAAACAGCAAGAGAAAAGCAACAGGATTTCTACAAAGGAGCTCTCATAGGGTTGTTAGCTGATTTCTCAACATAGACACTACAGTCCAGAGGGAATGACATGAAGATTTCAAGATAATGAAAACAAGGATCTAAAACCAAGACTACTCTATCCAGCAATGCTATTATTTAAAATAGAAGGTGAAATAAAGAGATTCCCAGCCAAAAAACAGCTGACGGATTTATTACCACCAAACCAGCATTGCAAGAAATGTTAAAGGGACTGCTGTAATAAGAAGTAGAGAGACAGAAACATAGGCATAATGAATAAATGGCAATTGATAAGTTCCTTTCAATAATAATCATAAATGAAAATGGTTTAAATGCTTCAATAAAAAAATACAGGGTAGCCAAATGGATAATAAAACATGATCCATATAGATGTTGTCTACAAGAGACCCACAACAAAACAAAAGACACACAGAATGAAAGTGAGGGGATAGAAAAAATTTTCCATGCAAAAGGAAATTTTTAAAAAGCACAGCTAGCAACTCTCATATCTGATATAACAGACTTCAAAATAAAAGCCATAACAAGAGACAAAAAAGTCCACTACATATTATTAAAGGGATTAATCCAACAAGAGGATATAACTCTGCTAAACATATATGTACCCAATATAGGAGAAACAACATATATTTAAAACCTTCTGGAGGACTTTAAGAGAAACAGATAGCAATACAATCATAGCAGGGGAATGTGCCACAAACATCACTACATAGATCTTCTAGATAAAAAATTAACAAGGAAACAAGAGACCCTAAATGATGCACTTAATCAGATAGATTTAATTTATATTTATAGAGCATTTTACCCCGAACCTGCAGAATATGCATTCTTCTCAAGTGCACATAGGACATTCTCAAAGATAGACCAGATGAGGACACAAACTAAGTCTCTACAAGTTCAAGAAGATTCAAATCATATCAAGGATCCTTTCAGATCACAATGGCATTAAACTAGAAATCAATCACAATAAGAAACACTCAAGCCCTGGTCGATTTGGCTCAGTGGTTAGAGCGTCAGCCTGTGGTCCGGAGAGACCCAGGTTCAGTTCCCACAAAGGGCGCGTACCTCGGTTGCAGTTTGTCCCTGGCCCTGGTTGGTCGTGTGGGTGGTAGCCACTCGATGTGTCCCTTTCACATTGATGTTTCTCTCTCTCTCTCTTTCTTTCTCTCCCTCCCACTCCATCTGAACAAAAAAATGGGAAAATGTCCTCAGATGAGGAT